GATGAAAGAAATCAAAGAGGACACAAACAGATGGAGAAATATACCGTGTTCATGGATTGGAAGAATCAATATTGTCAAAATGGCTATACTACCCAAAGCGATCTACAGATTCAATGCAATCCCTATCAAACTACCAACGATATTTTTCACAGAACTAGAACGAATAATTTCACAATTTGTATGGAAATACAAAAAACCTCGAATAGCCAAAGTAATCCTGAGAAAGAAGAATGGAACTGGAGGAATCAATCTGCCTGACTTCAGACTATACTACAAAGCCACAGTCATCAAGACAGTATGGTACTGGCACAAAGACAGAAATATAGATCAATGGAACAGAATAGAAAGCCCAGAGATAAATCCACGAACCTATGGTCACCTTATCTTTGACAAAGGAGGCAAGGATATACAATGGAAAAAAGACAACCTCTTTAACAAGTGGTGCTGGGTAAACTGGTCAACCACCTGTAAAAGAATGAAACTAGAACACTTTCTAACACCATACACAAAAATAAACTCAAGATGGATTAAAGATCTAAATGTAAGACCAGAAACTATAAAACTCCTAGAGGAGAACATAGGCAAAACACTCTCCGACATAAATCACAGCAGGATCCTCTATGACCCACATCCCAGAATTTTAGAAATAAAAGCAAAAATAAACAAATGGGACCTAATGAAACTTCAAAGCTTTTGCACAACAAAGGAAACTATAAGCAAGGTGAAAAGACAGCCCTCAGATTGGGAGAAAATAATAGCAAACGAAGCAACAGACAAAGGATTAATCTCCAAAATATACAAGCAACTCCTCCAGCTCAACTCCAGAAAAATAAATGACCCAATCAAAAAATGGGCCAAAGAACTGAACAGACATTTCTCCAAGGAAGACATACAGATGGCTAACAAACACATGAAAAGATGCTCAACATCACTCATTATCAGAGAAATGCAAATCAAAACCACAATGAGGTACCATTACACACCAGTCAGGATGGCTGCTATCCCAAAGTCTACAAGCAATAAATGCTGGAGAGGGTGTGGAGAAAAGGGAACCCTCTTACACTGTTGGTGGGAATGCAAATTAGTACAGCCACTATGGAAAACAGTGTGGAGATTTCTTAAAAAGCTGGAAATAGAACTGCCATATGACCCAGCAATCCCACTTCTGGGCATACACACCGAGGAAGCCAGATCTGAAAGAGACACGTGTACCCCAATGTTCATCGCAGCACTGTTTATAACAGCCAGGACATGGAAGCAACCTAGATGCCCATCAGCAGATGAATGGATGAGGAAGCTGTGGTACATATACACCATGGAATATTACTCAGCCATTAAAAAGAATTCATTTGAATCAGTTCTAATGAGATGGATGAAACTGGAGCCCATTATACAGAGCGAAGTAAGCCTGAAAGATAAAGACCATTACAGTATACTAACACATATATATGGAATTTAGAAAGATGGTAACAATAACCCTATGTGCAAAACAGAAAAAGAGACTCCGATGTATAGAACAGACTTGTGGACTCTGGGAGAAGGCGAGGGTGGGATGTTTCAAGAGAACAGCATTGAAACACGTATATTATCTAAGGTGAAACAGTTCACCAGCCCAGGTTGGGTGCATGAGACAAGTGCTCGGGCCTGGTGCACTGGGAAGACCCAGAGGGATTGGGTGGAGAGGGAGGTGGGAGGGGGGACCGGGATGGGGAATACATGTAAAAAAAAAAAAAAAAAAAGATACACTATGGTTGTGATAAAAAAAAATAAATAAATGAATTAAAAAAAAAATAGAAACGCATGCAAAGGACTAGAAGAAAATAGATCAACATATATAACAATGATTACTTCTGAGTTGTGGGATAGAATAATTCTTATATTTTTCTCTGTGCTTTATTTGGATCTTCCATGCTTTGTATACAGAATTTATATTGTTTCTATAGTAATAAAAATATTTTTTCTTTTTATTAAAAAAAAAAAATGGGCAAAAGACTTGAATAGACATTTCTCCAGAAAAGAGATATGCAAATGTCCAATAAGCACATGGAAAGATGTTCAACACCACTGATAATTAGCGAAATGCCAGTTAAAACTCTAATGAGATACTACCTCACATTCATTAGCAAAGCTATTATCAAAATAGCATGAAGTAACAAGTGTTGGCGAGGATATGAAGAAATTGGGTGGAAATGTAAAATGGTCCAGACACCATGGAAATGAAATGTTGGTTTCTGAAAAAATTTAAAATTAAAATTACTATATGATCTGGCAGCTTCACTTACGGGTATATTCCCTGGAAGATTGAAAGCTTGGACTTGAAAAGATATTTGTACACCCATGTTCATAGCAACATTTTTCACAATAGCTAATGTGGAAGCAACCCAAGTACCCACTGACTGTTGAATGGATAAGCAATGTGGTACATACATACAATGAGATATCATCCAGCCTTAAAAAGGCAGAAAATTCTATAATATGCTATAACATGGATGAACCTGGAGGACATTATGCCCAGTGAAATGCCAGGTGTAAAAAAACAAATATTGTGTGATTCCATTTATTTGAGGTATTTTAAGAGTAGCCCAAGTCATAAAGACAGGAATTGTAACAGTAGTTGCCTGGGGCTGAGGGGAGGGAAGAATGGAGGGTTATTGTTCAATAGGTACGGACTCTCAGTCTCACTAGGTGACAAGAGTTACGAGTCTGGTGATGGGTGCAGATGACTGTATAACACTGTGAATGTATTCAGTACTGCTGAGCTGTATACTTAAAAGTAGTTAAGATGGTCAAATTTGTTATGTGTATTTTACCACAAGAAAAAAGGAATGGTGTTGCTTTAAACATTGAATAAAACTTACTTGAATTTCAGATTATTTTTTCTTTTCACTTTCCGAGTATTTAAAAATGGCTTTAATGGTGTTTGTTAAAAATGATGTGGCATAGATGTTGACTGTCTGAATTAGCATACAGCGTTCTTTATTTGTCTTTTTGTATATCACAGTTGTACTGTTTTAAGGCTGATAGCACATTAAGGCTTTTGATAGCACATTTTAGTCAATACAGTGTAATTTTTAAAATTGTTTTCATCAAAAGTAAAACTCATTGGGAAATACAATATAATCACTTTTCTCCCACCACTTTTTATAGAAAAAACATGTTCAGAAGTGTGAAAAAATTGAACAGGTTTATAATAATATTTACTAAGTCACCTTATGTAGGATTTAGAAAATAAATTTTAGTATAAACTTAATATACTTTAATACATTTCAGAAATAAAAGTCTTGCTCTTCCTCCACCATCAGACACCCCATTTATCTCTTAGGGTGGCTACTTTTAATGTTTCTTAAATAGTTTTCCAGAAATGATCTATGAATAGATAAGTATATGTATATGAGTATATGATGGAATTGTACACACACATACAGAAAATCTATATACCCCATCTTTTTTTTTTTAAAGAGTCATTTTCTATAAGGTGAATGGCTTAAATATGTTCTTCAGTAAGTTCAAGGAAAAGCAGATAAATTGATGTGTACATTAAAACTGTAACTGTCTTCAACAGAAAACAACAAGATTCTATAAAGCAATTATCCTTCAATTAAAAAGTAAATAAGTTAAAAAAATACATCACTCATACATTCATAAATGTTCACTTCAAGTGGATTGATGAGGCAAATGTAAACAAATGTATTAAAAAGAAATCATAGAGTAATATCTCTGATTTCAAACTTGTGAAATCCGTTTTAAGCATAAGTACAATAAAAGAAGTTTGTAAAGGAGAAAGTTAGGCTTTGGCCAAAAAAATATCAATAAATAAAACCTATAGTGTAGGTTTAATATCCTTAAAAAAAGATTTCCAAGAGGGAATGATTGATTTTTTTTTTTTTTGGAATGACTGATTTTAAATGTAAATGCTTGCTAATAGTGGGTGGAATCAAACAGCATAAAAACAGTAACTTTTTTCTGGAGTCAACAATTTAATCTTATATTTTAAAATGAAGAACCATTTTTGTAGTAAGATATAATGCAAATAAAATTGGAATTTCATATAAAAATGTAACTTTATTTGAGGTCTTCTAATTATTCTGGTGGTATAGATGAAGAGTAAACTTTGTTTATTATAGTTCATCAACAGATTAGATTTTAAAATCCTTTTATGAAAACATAAGACGCTTACTCCTTGGAAGGAAAGTTATAACCAACCTAGATAGCATGTTAAAAAGCCGAGACATTACTTTGCCAACAAAGGTCCGTCTGGTCAAGGCTGTGGTTTTTCCAGTGGTCATGTATGGATGTGAGAGTTGGACTGTGAAGAAAGCTGAGTGCCGAAAAATTGATGCTTTTGAACTGTGGTGTTGGAGAAGACTCTTGAGAGTCCCTTGGACTGCAAGGAGATCCAACCAGTCCATCCTAAAGGATATCAGTCCTTTGGATGGACTGATGCTGAAGCTGAAACTCCAATACTTTGGCCACCTCATGCGAAGAGTTGACTCATTGGAAAAGACCCTGATTCTGGGAGGGATTGGGGGCAGGAGGAGAAGGGGACGACAGAGGATGAGATGGCTGGATGGCATCACCGACTTGATGGGCATGAGTTTGAGTATACTCTGGAAGTTGGTGATGGACATAGAGGCCTGGCATGCTGTGATTCATGGGGCCGCAAAGAGTCGGACACGACTGAGCGACTGAACTGAACTGAACTGAATTGAACTGAAAAAATTTTAATTTGTATGAAAGATTTTTGCCCTCAACATATGTTCTTAATATCCATCATACTTTTGGGAGTGGGATTATTGTGAATGTTGTATAGTGGAAAGGGCAAAGGAGGAGGATGTTTTACCATATTGTTTTGATTTTTTTTTTAAAGCTATGAGCATATTCTACTTTTATTAAAATGATAATGGTAAATATTTTTAAGAAATGTAATGACATAAAGGTAATTTTAAAATAATGTCCTCATTACTAAGCTTATGTTGTGCTTTTATTAATTTTGGTTTTAGGCCTGTGTGGATGTCAGAGCCAGTTCAGTGTTTTGGCAGCAGATGGAATTTGCAGAAAGCCTCCACGGTCATCCCAAGTTGCCAGAATGGTTATCTACACACCCTTCTCATGGCAATCGAGCTGAGCACTTGGATAGGCTCATACCTCAGGTGAGCTAACACTACATAAGACAAGACTTTATTGTTACTGTATCATTTATTTTTAATACTGTTACTTGTTGTGCCTAGAAAAAGAGCACTAGCCTGTCAACCATTTTTATTACCATCAGTTTTCAAAGGGTTTCACTGAAAAGTAAAAAATCCTGCTATTCCACAAGTCCTGGTGAATAAATTGGTATGTATAGTTGACTTTTCATGATAGTCAAGGTTTAGCATATTTAGTATCATACTTTTTAATTTTAACTGATTTGGTGAAAGTCTAAAAGTCAAGGTATATTTTTCATCATACTGATCATAATCTTAGTGATTTAAGCTTATCATTAAAAATACCAGTTAATGAATTGTGTGAAATTTTTGGTTGAGTATTAATTCCAGTAGTGATGCTGGAATTTGTTTTTTTTTTAGGAAAAAAACTCCTTCAGATTAGTTTGCTTTCTGGTTATTTCTCTTAAAAGATGGAATAAAGTATGTGCTATGTGCTCTTTTTTTTCTTTGAAGAATTCATTAATGGATCAAGCTGAAACAGCTTTCTCCCAAGTAGTATTCACTCTCTTCTAAAAATCTTTGATTTAACATACTCAGAATGTTTTCTGTGCTTTCCACATAGGTACAAAATGAATGTCAGTCATCTCTAAGGCAGGCTATGTGCTCTCTTCTGTCTCACTTGCTTAAAAGCAGAATATTCATTACCAATTTAAGAATTAGTCTTGGGTTAATTGCTAAAGGGATAACACAACAGATTCAGATATATTATAGAAGTCTCTTTAAATATGACTTCAAATTCAGAAGAACAAAACATTGAGTACCCATTATAAGAAAGATGCAAAAGAAATAATACATCGTCTTGATATTTTAAGATGCTAAAATAAGTAAAAAATGATTCTTAATATAATAAGGAATATTATTTATCATAAGAAAAGTTGAATACAATGGTATACATTGTGAAAGAAGAATAACCTTATTACTTGGCGTAATAATAATGACCTTATTTTGGGGGTAAGCTTCTTATTTGGGGTAAGAAACTACAAGAAGATTCATTCATTTATTCATGTGATCAACATTTATTAATATTCATTGCTAATGTACCGTTCTGTGTTGTATTGTGCCAGGGAGTGAGCAAGGAACAAAACAGCCTCTTGTTTTCTTAGAGCTAACATTCTAGTTAAGGAATGCAAATAATAAGCAAGCAAACAAACATACATATAGTATGTCAAGCAGTTAGAAGCACATTGCAGAAAAACAGCGGATGAAAGGTGGGAGAGAGGCCTGGGCAACAGAAGGTATACTAGTCATGTTCATTTGCCAAAGAAGACCTTAATACACAGAATCTGGAAAGAAGCAGGGCAGCAAGTCCTGTGGATATCTGGAGGAAGTCTTCTAGGCTGAGCAAGCAGCAAATACCCAGGACCGGAAGTGAGGCTGTGCTTGTTTGGTATATTCAAGGAGTAGCAAGACGCTGGGGCTGAATGGAGTCAGGGAGGGGAGAATGGCTGAGGTGTGAGGGGTCTTCTAAACCACCGTAAGGTCTTGATTCTTATTTCAAGTGATACGGGAAGCTAAGCAAGGCTTTGAGCAGAGGAGGCTTGATCTGGCTCAAGTGTTTTATAGTGATCACTGGGTCTCTTTTGTGGACTATAGGGGAGCAAGGGTGGAATCAGGAAGCCTATTTAAGAGGCTCTTGCAGTAATCCTGGTAAGATTATGGAGGCAGAAGAGTAGGAGAGAAATGGTCAGATTTTAGATGTATTTTGAAAAGAATGGTGACTGGATCTGTTGATTTTTTGAGCTTACTTTATGCCTTTTAGGCCCTGACCCAGGGCCTGGGTCAGCCAGACATAGGTTATTGAGACCTATCCTAAATACATTTCATTTATACTCTTAACTTTAAGGAAAAATACGTGAGAAAGAAAGAGCAGTGAAATTTACTTGATATAATATGTAGTAGTTATTCACCTTAAAAAACAGCATGGGACAGTTTCATAAGTAACTGATTTGTATTGAAGAGCACTGACTCTGAGTCTTAGTGGCACCCCAGACCCAGGAACCTCATTCTGCTCTCGGAGTGACTTAATCTATCTCTAAATCCATAATAACCATATGGTTTTCTCTTAGAATTTCCTTTGCTTTTTATTTTTGCTTAATGAAATTCTAAAAATACATGGTTTGCTTAAACTGGATAATGAGTTCTACCTAACTTTTATCTGAAGCCTGTCCTAAATTCCAGGTTTTTGTTTCATCATCAGATAACTAAGGATCTTTAAAGGAATAGTAAATGTTCTTTAGAGAAGTCTTTAAAATAATAATGAATTGAGTAGTGAGTACAACAAAAAAATGGTTGGAGAAACAGATATGTTATTTGGAAGCCAGTGACGAAGAAAAAAATTAAGAGATATTTTTCTTCTAAAAATAAACTATTCTAGTTCGGAAGCTTAATTTAAAAACCTCATATAATTTCTTGTATTTTTTCCCCCCAAGTGATTAAATTCAATTTGAAGGTAATAAAACTCTACTACAATATTGGGAGTAATTCAGTGGTTGAAGTGAAACTGATAGGACAACAGTATATTGTTAATTAGAATACATAACCATAATTCAGAGATTGGAATTCCCTACTATCATAGGTCTAATTTCTGTAATGAAAGAAAACGATTCCTCAGGCAATATATGGAATTATATGAGTCTGTGTCTTCTTAGAGACTACCTTTTTTTGGGTTAGATTTTCTTTAAGGTTTCTTTCCTACTAAAGTGAGGACAGTGTTGGGTTCCACCTAAAGCTCCAGTCCTTTGACATTTCAGACAGTGATGTACATCTAAAGGGTGGTTGGGAATATTGCACCAATGTGCAGAGGTGTCTCTGTCAGAGTTGAGGATTTCAAAATTACCAGGAAATGGTGGTAGTTGAAGTGGTGAGAGTGAGTGAGTTCACTTAGGAAGTAAGCAAAGGAAATGCTCTTGGACACTTAGCAGTATTAGGTAGAGTCCATGTTTAATTGGTAGGAGGAGGAGCCTGTAGTGGATTAGGTTCGTAGGAAGAGAAAAGACCAAGAAAGTCCAGAAAATGAGGTTCTTTGGTCCTCTGAGAATACAAATCTTGGTAACTTTGATGTTTTAAAATTTAAGTTATTAAAGATTGTATATTTTAAAAAATTGTTTTCCTGTAGATCATTACAGAAGTGTATTGTCTTACCATAGCATATTAACGTTTAAGGTGTTTTAAATCCATATTTGATGTCTTTTTCAACAAGTATTTATTGATTACCTCTTACGTGCTAGATTGTGGGTATTGTAGGTGTTGTGAACAAAATAGACAAAACCCCCTGCCCTCAGGAAGTTTATTTGTCAGTAAAGGGTAAGAGACAGTGAATAGAATAAATCAGTAATATACAGAATAAATCACCAATATATTGCATGTTAGTCAGTACTAAGTGTAAGGGAGGGAAATAAAGGAGGAGGAATTGTGTATTATCTTGGGCTGCCATAACAAAATCCATAGACTTGGTAGCTTAAGCAACAGAAATTAATTTCTTCACAGATTTGAAGGCTAAAAGTACAAGATCAGGGTTCTGCCTTAAGCAGCAGAAATACACTTTTCTGGAAGTTCAATAATGAAGTTCTGGTGAGGCCTCTCTTCGAGTCTTGTATATAGCCATCTTCTCGCTGTGTGCCGCGTGGTATAGAAAGAGTGATTGTTTTTTGTGTCTCTTCCTCTGCTTAGAAGGCACTGTCCCATCACAAGGGTCATACCCTCATGACCTCACCTAAACATTACCTCCCAGAGGCCCCGTCTCTAAGTACCATCACACTGGGAATTAGAGCTTCAACATAGGCATTCCAGGATGACAGAGCTCATTTCCCAGCAGAGAGGTAATGTGTGAGCAGAGGTGGTCATGGCTGCTGGAGTAGCCGTTTGAAATCGGGTTGGGTCAGAGAAGGTGTCCCTGGGAAGGAAGGTATTGGAAGGAAGACTTGAAATAAGGGAAAGAGTGAGCCACGCAGCTTCCTGGGGGAGGAGCAGTCCAGGCGGAGGGAATAGTAAGTACAAGTTCTTGAGCAGGAGTGAGCCAGCTATATCTGAGGACCAGCAAAGAAACCAATGTAGCCGCTTGGGGTTAAGCAACGGAAGGTGGAGGGAGCAGGGTTTATAGGCCCCCACACAAAAAAGGGCTGGATTTTACTCAGAGACAGAGGAGCAGTGGGGGCTTCCCTGGCGGCTCAGTGATACAGAATCTGCCTACAGTGCAGGAGTTGTAGGGGACTCGGAGTCCTCCCCTGGGTCAGAAAGATCCCCTGGAGGAGGGCATGGCGGCGCACTCCAGTCTTCTTGCCCGGAGAATCCCATGGACTGAGGAGCCTGGGGGGCTACAGTCCCTGGGGTCACACAGAGCCGGACCTGACTGCAGTGCCTCAGTGGAGTGGTTTGAGCTGAGGCCAGAGGAGCAGCAGGATCTGTGTTGTATTTGAAGAGTGTGATCTACAGCTCCTACAAAACAGTACAATCATGTAATTTTGGAGTGCTTTAGTTTAGTATATTGTTCAGAAAATAAGCCAGATCCTTTTTTTGTTTTGTTTCTAAATCAGGCCTCCAAACTGGAAAAAAAATCCTTGCTTTTTTAAAAAATGTGAATTCTGAGATAATGCATGTGTAAATGCCTAGTTAAATATAGTCCTGTGATCCACTAGTATTTAAAAAGGATAAAGAAAGGGTTATAGTAATGGTATTATTTGTAGTTAATGATACGGTATGTTATAATTTTATTTACTTGAGATAATCAGTTAAATTTAGGAAACACATATTCCACATATTCCGTTACCATAACAACTTGGGTGAAAAATTGAAGAACAGATGTTGTATCAACCTGTTGATGTTTAATAGTATGACAATTTTTAAATTATATTCAAATTTTAAATTTATATATACCATACATAGTCCTTGAAAAAGATACCTTATTTAATTTTTTTCTGTTAAGTATCATTATACTATATGAATAGATG